GTCAAGATAAATAGGGCGGTGCCAGGATTGGCTATGTAATCGTCTCCATCCGCTCTGTTAGTGAAATCTTGTGCTGAATGAAGTGTAGGTGGTTGTAGTTCAAACTCGGGTAGATCGAGAACGAAGTGGGTGGGCATAATGCCTAAGGACATATGCCTACTGTAGCTTACATTGGCGACATTCCAAGAGTAGAAATCGCGTTTGATTAATTTGAACCACGTAAATTTAATGCGCATATAGCTATAAATTACCGGGAACGTAAATAAAGCTTACGTAGTGATTAATAGCTGAGTTTAGGGTATAGCAATATGTTGTTTGAAATCTAATCGAGTTATGATTTACAGGAACTGGAACAGATTTCTTATGTTGCGCATGATCGTTGTATGCATCTAATATTTAGGGAACCAAGGAGGTCGCACAAAAACAGCTGAAGGACATCTTGGCAATGAACGTTGGCGGAAGTGTACGAGCTGCACATGTTTCTGGTCAGCCAACTGCAGCTCCAGGAGCTCCCGCAGGAGCAATGATGGGCCCAATGGGGGGTGCGCGACCTGGACCCATGCCAGGCCCACAAAATGCGGCTTATCCTGGTGGTCCTGGTGGACCAGGTGGTGCACCAGGTGTCCCGCAGCACTCAACTTTCAACAAATTTTTGCAGGTAATTGAAATGTTTAGGACTAGGGCTAGTCTTACAAGGGAACATGTGTAAGTCGAAGTGGCCTTTAGAATGAGATACTTACGCCAAGTGTGTAGAACAAGGATTTTAGTCTCCTTATCTGCAGAATGCTCTTGCGAGGGAAATGTAAACGAGTCCAATCGCAGTGGTTGAGGTGAAGTAGGCTGGCCACATAAGTACGCCGCAGCACGAATGCGCAGTAGTGTCTGCTCTCTGCCTTTTGCAGATATTTGTTCCTTAAAAATTATTGCAATTCAAGCAGACTCTTTTGCAGTCTTGTCTTTTTTCTCATCTACTTTTTTTTTGGGAAATCTTCCCTTCAGTTCTATCATACAACAATATTGAATTAACTCAGTGCCATAAATTTTGAAAGAGGAGCGAGGGAATAAAATAGGTATGATGCTCCGTTTACATTTTACGAAATTCTTTTGAACATTTAAAGCATCTGCATAAGGCGGCGATAAAGCCCGGTAGCAAACGAACTAAAGTAAAATACCTATCACTTATTGCGCTGCGTACGCCCCCTGGCTGGCCCCCTCACTTCATCCACTTCGATTAGAATCGTCCTAACTCATTCATGGAAGCGTTTCTCAGATAACCAAGAGGCATTGAAATCTTAATTCCACAGGCATTTCTGTTGTGTACATGGTAAATGCCCAAATTTTGTAATAGTTCCCTTGCTAGAAGAATCTTTGAAGATTATATGTACTTTTTGCAAATATATCACTTAATACGCCTTTTTCGACTTAAAATAGTCGAATACTCAAGTCGAGGGCAGTAGCGTTTTTAAATTTAGCTTCTCTTCAAATAATGCCGACCGTCCGAAGCTTCGACACAAACATGTCTTTATCATATAGCTTGAGATTTTGATACTAATATTCTGAATCTAGTGGTTCGTATACATGAAAATCTATGTTAGAGTAGTAGTCTAAATTGCTGAAAAACATGTAATGCTTGCTTTCTATCGCACCTTCTACTTTACTAACATTAGATTAGGTAATCGGTTACGCACATTGGCAAACTTTGAGACTTTCTTGAACCCGGGCAGAAACAAATAAAAT